TGTCATCTTCGTTTGACTTCTTCGGGCATGCGGTCTGAGTGTAACTGCACGTCTTACCTGCGGGCTGGCTTCCAAGAGCGAGTGCTCCAGGAGACAGGCCTGGGACCTGTCGGTCCACCGGCCTGGGCCAGGACATTGGCACGGCCTCACGTTCCCCACAGTCTGCCCAAGGTAGTAGCACAGTCTGCCCAGGTTCCAGAAGGGAGGACGGAGACCCCACCTGTCAGTGGCAGAAGTGTCAAAGAATTATGACAGCCTTTAATTCATCACAGATATCTTACAGAAGTCTCACTGAATTTGCAGTGGAGATGGGGTTAGATGTAAAAGCAGGAAGGTTTTCTGTTGCTTGTTTTCCTGGCAGGTATAAGTTCTAATCCTGGGTTTACCATTTACTAATAGTTTGATGTTTCTGAGACTGTTTCTTCATCTCTGAAGTGGTAGAAATAACACATAGGCTATGGAGCTGTTGAGAGAATTAAGTGAGAAATATATATGAAATAGAAGATCTAGTTGGCAGTAACTGTGTGAACCTAATAACTGCTAGTGTTGATTGAATACTTAGCAAGTGCTTAGTACATTAATATGTTTTTATACGTGGTCTCATTCAGTCCTTCCCCTTCCTGGGGTGGGATGTCCCATGCCAGAGAGGTCAGAAAGAGAAGCACCCATCTCCTCTGGCTCGAGCCGTATTCGCCTGTGGGTCTGCCTCGGCTGCTTCTGGTGTGCTCATTTCTCACGGCTATTGTTAGGGCCTCCACCTTTGCGTACCACTGATTTCTGTTTTGAGCCGCGAGGACCCAGGTGCGGAGGCACACGTGGCACTTTGACATCACCTTTTCAGCATTTGTTCCCAGTGCTGTTGGCATCATTTCTGACAGCTCCTCATGCAGCCTGTCAGCTCCCCGAGCCCACGATCGCTTGCTCATCAGAGCCACAGTGCACGCTGTCTGTTTCAATGAGTGCTCTGCTCTCAGCCTTGCTTGGTGCAGGATTGTGGGAGCGCAGTTGTTGGCCTCCCCAGGAACACGATGATCTGCACTTGGGAGCAATTATTTAATTTGGGGCAATTACTCGTGGGTGTTCTTTAAGTGAACACTTTTGTAGGCTGTGACTGAATTCTGAAACAGCAGCTTCCTGATCTGATCTCAATCTGTTGTCACTGGAGGAAGGTGGGACCCTTTCTTTCCCCAACAAGCTGGTTATTGCCTCACAGCCTGTGAGTGGTCAGCTACTTTTGTGAGTATTTTCGACTTGGAGACACATAATAAAATTGGGTTTCGGTAGAAGTCACCTATTTGTTATCTTTCTGTTCTCTGCTCTCAAAATTTACGTCCCTTGAAATGGAAGGAATCATTTTAGTCCTTTTAGGAATTAGAGGTCACATGAAATAATACCCAGCTAAGGGGTATATTCGCTCATTCACTTGTCCATTGAGCCATCTTCTCTAACTTAGTGGCTGAGAGTGTAGAGTGAGCACTGCTTAGGTTAAAATCCACTTACTAACTGTGTGACCTGGAGATTAACTCCTCTACATCTAAATTTCCTGTGTGTAAAATAGAATCTAGGGTTGTCATGGGATTATATAAGGGCATGTTTTCACTATAGTTAGTTCAGATCTTGGCACATAGAAAATATTCAGTGGATGCTACTTATTTTCTTGCTCTTGGAGGTAGACCTTGTATTATAATAAGTAACCATAACAACATATTTACTTGTTGCTTCTGCTCTGAACAATTCTCCAAATGCTTTACCCTTTGAGTCCTATTAGGAAACCTTACTCCCTCCCCTTTTAGCAACAAACAAATTGCTGGAGATTACATATTCCTAAAAAGGAGAGACATCTCGAAAATGTATAACATCCTTTTCTTCTAAAAGTACATTTCAAGAAATGAATTTCAGCTCAATTAGGCAAAAGTTGGATTATGTGAGAGTAGGCGGAAAGTGAGGCGGCAGCGGGGGGTTTGGGTTGATTTCACGGTGCTCAGAGGAGTGGCGCATGGTCCGCTCAGTTCCCCTTCCCGCTGGCTGGGAGGCGGAGGACCGCAGCCTGCATCGACGTACCATCCTAAATCCGGCCCGTGTGTAGGTTTTTGTAATTTAATAACACCTCTAACTATGGTCCTAAATGAGGATGTCTTATCTAAAAGAAAAAATAGATATTTTAAAATACACAGCTAAGGTTGTCTTTGTTTTTCTTCTCTTAAGAAATGAGGACATGTTTTTGTAGTGAAATAAAGATCTTGAGAGAATAGCAAGTTCTTCCTGGCTTTCAACAACTCAGAGGTCTGAAAGGGTCCTTGTTTCCATAGTCTGGCCACACTGTTCTAGTTTAGTTTAAGGTTGTGAAGTCTTTACTTTTCTTGTTTTTATTTTTTGTTTTTTTGTTTTTAATGGATAATGTCCAGAGCTTCAAGCAGATGCAATAATACCTGACTATTCTGAACTTGTTTAAAGAGTTTATACATATACCTTTTTTTTTCTGTAACTGCAAGTCATCTCTTTAGCTTCCCAAACTTAAAAAATTATCTGCTTTTCTTTTAAAACAAATACTCCTTAGGCATAGTATTCATTAACACAGCGGGATTATCATGATGAACTAATGTTAACTATTGAAGGGTTATTGACCCCACTAAATGGGCTAAGATTGCTATAAATTTTATAGTTTTTTAAAAGTGTATTTTCTATTTCCATCAGATCTAATGTTTTAATTATGGCAACTGTCCTTAAAGGCTATCTGTTTCTAATCCCATCTAGCACACACTTTGGTGTTAGTGTGCTACTTCTAGTATCTATAAACTATAAAATCATATCACCAAGCTAATTTGAGTAAATGTTTCTCTTGGTGTTGGTAAGAGCTATTTTGGCTATTTGGAGATCATTAATTTTTTTAAATTTCTAAGTTCTTGTTTGCATTTTTCATAGCTCAGTTGTCCAGTACTTTCACTTTGAGATAAGTGAACAAAAGAGGTTCTTACTATAGTTTGATGATGACTTTGTAATTGGTTTAGCTGGGTCTGTATGGAAAAGAAGAATTCCCAGAAGATTGGGCAGAGCTAGTGCAGTTCAATCATTCGGTCCTCACACAAGCAGTTAGTGTGTCCGCTACACCAGCACTGTGTGGTGAAAATGCCATTACTAGGTGATAGGGGAGTTGGGGGGTATCGCTCACCTACTACTAAATACAGATCTATACCCGTAGACTAGTCAAGTTCATGTTGTGACGAATATGAATTATAACACATGTTGTTGTAAGAATCTGTGAACTTTCAATATTCCTGTGAACACAGGGAGGAGGGGGAGCGTCAGGAGGGGAGGTCGAGTACACAGCAGAGTTGGTTGAACCCGGAGAGGCGTTTGCAGAGAGCGCGCTGAAGGGATAGGGAAGAGGGGGGTGGGGAGCCCAGGAGAGAGGACCAGGCATCAGGAGGCCTAGAGAACTAGAGACGGAGAGCCTTGCGTTTTCAGCGGGACTAGGAAAACAGGACACACAGGCCGATTCAGTCCCGACGGGCTGTGCACAGGCACGCGGGCTGTGAGGCCTCCGCAGCGCCGGGCAAGGGTGACGCGGTGGGCGGTGTGGGCCAGGCGGCAGGCCTTCTCTCGGTCTGCGGGCTTTGGCCGCCGCGGGCAGCAGTTAGTGGGTGAGGATGCAACTTTGCTAAAGCAAAATGTGCCTGATAGTAACCCAAGTTTCTGATCCACCAGAGTCTTCTTTCTTCTTTCTACTTGGCGACAGTGAGCAAAACCAGTCTAGGGCCATTGCTTGGTGTGGTGATGAACGGTGCCTGTCTGTTTCTGTCTCCTGGCCTGATTACACGTCCTTCCAACTGCTTTTCTTTCCTTAAAGAATTAACCTACGCAAAGTGAAAACTTCAGCCAAATGTTTTGTTCATCATTTTCCCTTCCACCCTCACGTTGGATTTTCGGTGGCTGTGGAAGATTACGTCAGCAAATTATGGTAGGAGTGCACTCACTCTGAGGTACCTAATCCCTCTCCTCACTTCTGATTTTGGAGACAGAAAAAGGGTGGCTTGTGAGAACGCCTTTGCATAATACACCTGATACAGCTCCATTTCCAAAAGGCAGGCAGGTTCCATTTGTGGCCGAGGCCAAGAGGGTGCATCTCACAGACCCCGGCCTTGTGAGTGACGTCAATTCACAGCCAACTCCGACGTGAAAGGCCTTTCTTCTTGCATACAGTAGCTTGCATGGCGAGGAAACAGCGTATTCTGTGGCAACCTTATTTCTGATTCTGTCATCCTGAGTATCTAAGACTCCCTCTCTCTTGAACTTAATACCTAAACATCTCTTCAGAATGAATTGTGAACGCAGAACTCACGGCTCAGCTCCAGTATGGCTTCTTAACAAGCTACATAACTTGTTTATTCCTCAAGAAATGCTGCTCTGGCTTTCAGGAGGGAAAAGAAAAGAAAAGCAAGTCTAGCAGATAGGTCTTAATTACCACCTCTAGTTTACAAATATTGCTTGAGAGCAAGAGATGAGATAAACAGCAGCGAGAGCAGTGGCGGAAACCCGGGGTGGCGCTGCCCGCTGCCCGCTGCCCGCTCCGCACACGGTCTGCCCTGCGGTCAGCAGCAGCCTTCCCGTCGAGTTTGGTTTTGTCGCCTGCCAGTGTAACCACACCCCCCACCCCGCCCACAGACCCAGAGTTTCAGTTAATAATTTTAGACTTTTGCATTGCTGCCCTCTTGACCTTGGAACTTGACTTTTGCAATCTTTAGACCATACAAATACTTTAGAAATGGATGGAAGGAAAATGATTTATTGTAAAAATAATGATTTTATGTGAACATTAATTAAATAACACCTAAAATTTGCAATAAGCCTCTCAGAGAAAGAACATATGTTTTTAAAAAATCTCACTATTTGTTTAAGTATTACTGTGTGTGAAAATGATGTGCCGGGAGTCTTGGGAAAAGACTTAATAAAATACTGCTGTATGTGGCAATATTGATTTCGGCTCTTTTTTTAAATTTCAGGGTTTGAACATAATCTTTCATGTGGCCTTGGCTCTTCTAAAGGTAAGTCTGTTCTTATTTCTAAGTCACCAGACTCTCTGACCTCTGTGCCCTTGGACCTGGCCTAATTCAGCTTCCAGCCTCTGCCTCATTTTAGATCCTTGAACATACAAGAAAGGACCTCTGATCCTGCCCCGTCCTCCTATCCTCTTTTGTTATTGCTTATTTAGAATTTGTTTCTTTGTTTTTCTTATCATCTATCATAGCACTCATTCCAGTAACTTAAAAAAAGGGTTTCATTCATATGAGTTAGATGCTATAAGAAAAAAAGCTAAAACCCGTTTCTGTCAAAGTGACGCCAGCTTTTTTCTTAAACTACTCCTTACGGTAATAATATCCCCGGAGGCACCAAACATATCATCGTATTATCAGAGAGCTTCTATAATACACTGACTAAAAATGAAACTGCTACATTTCAATTTGCAGTTCTTTCTCTGATAGCTAGAAATTTATAAGACACCTTAGAATTCAGTTATAATTACCTTGTTGGCTTTTATATCAACATATCAATGCAGCGGTAACAGTGCAGTAACAGCAAGGCACTTGCTGCAGAGTTGGTGAAAATAACTCTGTCAGTTTTTGTCCTTCAGTCAAAGATGACATCCCGTAATTGAAGGCGATAATTGCCTTGTGGATTAAAAGCTGCAGGCTTGCCTTTTCCCCAGTAAAGCTTAGTGGGTACAATTGCAGCCACCGGAGCCAGATTTGGTTCTAATTTCAGCTCCAGGGTACAGCCTTGGGCAAATTACTCTCAGCACTCAGACCCTGAGTTTTGAGGTAATAGAAACTAATTTATGGGATTATTGTAAGAATTAAAGAAGACGCTACATGAAAGTTTCTAATATAGTACCTAGAAAACGGTACTGCCTGGTAAGTGTTAGCTGCCGTTATTGTGATTACAGTTGTAGTCGCAAGGTGACTCAGGATTTGCGGCCAGGTTCCCCATCATGCTTTTGAGTTTCCCAGAGGATAGTGACCTGGCACCTCAGAGAACCTCTGGGTGTTGAGGGGGCTTCCAGACCGCGCCGGGAGCGCCTTGCTTGGAGCAGGGGCACCCGGGCCGGCTGCTCCGTGCGTGGCCTGTGGCTCCTCCCTCCTACTCTGTGAGACGTTGGTCTTTTGTGAAGTTCCATAAACACGCTTTCCATTGTCCGTGTAATCATTTTGGGTTTAAATATGAGCAGTTCTTACGCCAAAGTTACTTTAGGAGCTAAGAAAGTAGTTAAAATCCCTTCAATAAAATAGCAGGCATATTTGCACATATCTTTTAATGAAGTTATGGATCTGTCTACCTCTATTTTTTTTTCTTGTCATTTAAACAGATCAAAACCAAATAGTTTTTAAGATGCTTTCCGTATAGGGCTGGAATAAGACTTTTGGAATGCTTAAATAGTGAAAGTATTCTGTAATTCAGACCGAAAACCGTATTAAACTATAAAGGAAGTGTGAGGAAGTCTGACCAAGTTCTGACGTTTCCTGTCGTGCCTGATGCTTTACAAATCCCACCTGTCTTCCCCAGGATGCCTCCCCTCAGGTTCTGCGGTGACCCTTCTTTCTGAGCGCTCTCCGCACAGACTCAGCCTGTCTTGCGTGGGTGACCCCCGGGTATCAGACCTGAACTCTCTGTCAGCCAATACATATCTGTCTGGTGACTTATCTCTCTGACTGAGAGGTTTGGCAGGCTTGACTGTACCTGGCCACGCTAACCCGGACCTGACCTGTGCAGGGGAGGCTCTCTGGCCCCTGGGCGGAGAGGCATTTGTGTCCTCTGTGGTGTGACTTGGAGACTCATATCGCCTTGGCGAATTTGACTGGAAAAGGTGAAAAGGAGACTTTCTCACCGTTGGCCTGTATTTGCATCCCTTTCTGGTGTGACTCGGGAGCTGGCCCCACATAAAGACAGCGCAGTTGGCCGCACTGAAGCCTGGTGACTGATCCGACCGAATGCTCCAAACACGCATGGCTGTGACTGAGTTCTAGCTTCTGACCTAATATGCCAGATAACAGACTGCATGTCTGTTTATGTAAGGATAACAAACGTACAGACAGTTCAAAGTGCTATGAGCCCTGTCCAAGTGATTTCTCATACACTGGCCCAGGGACGCTTGGTTTCTCCGAATCAGAAACGTTTCTCAGCGTGAGGGGAATCAGAGAGGGAAGTCACATTTCCCAAGCACCCGCCCTGTGCTGAGTGTCGGCACAGGGGGGCTTGCTGGCCCACGTGCAGTGTCCAGGAGTTATTTGTAGGAGAATCATACGTGTGTAAGTCGGCGCAAACCATCGAATTCTCCCCCACGCTGGGCATTGAGGGGCCCAGGCCCCAAGCGTGCCTCGAGCCTTTCGGCTTCGTCACGGCAAAGCCGGATTTTGTCGTGTTTGTAAGCAGCACAGGTACAGGTGATCTCTCTGCTGCTCAGAATGGTTCAAAGACACCTCCTTTCTCAATGGGAGCTCCTTTTGGGGGCATAGAAATACTCTCCCAGGTAGCTAGAAAGCTACTGAGCTACAAGGTGATTCGCTATGCAGGTAGCATCAGCCAACCATTTAGGGTGTTGGCACTGCCCACTGGACAGGTTTGAGCTGGTCCCGCAAACCTAATGCATTTATTTTGTGAAGCATTCAGCAGTCACAGCGCGGTCCATTATAACAGCCTGGAGTGGTCAGAACTCGCCTTAGCCTTTCCCGGGGGCAGAGGGCGTTTTCCTTTGGAGCAGGTTCTCTGCCTTCAGGCAGGGGTTAAAAGAGGATGACAGAATGCTTTCTCCCCTCTCCCCTGGGCCCATTTGTGTCTTAAATGTGCATGTGGACGTTGCAGGGATAAAGAAAGCCCACTCCTAACAGTACCTCTCGACGGTATAAAATTGTGTATAAGATCTTCCTCCTGTGCTTTTTGAGTCTGTGTTACCCACCTGCCTGCATGGATATGTGTATGTACAGACCTATCTTTCATATGGGTTTGAGGATTATAGATAAGATGGGGAGGTAGGAGATGAATTGAGAAGAACATTGTACAAGGATGAACATTTATTTATTTTTTTAAAAAAGCTGTTGAACAAGACTTTTTCATTTAATGATATTTTATGAATATCTTTCTGTGCCACTACACACGTGGTATTTAAAATCATGGATGCTGGAGCCGAGCCGTTTGAGTTCAAATCTCATCTCCCACAATTTATCTAGTGATCTTAGGGAAATTACAGTTTCTCCATCTTTAAAATGGGACTATTGGTAATACCTATCTCATGGGATTAGTCTGGGGTTTCATGAGTTACCGTGTGACTGATACCTGGAATTTTAAATACTCTGATGCACGCAGGTGCCATTATTAACATATAGAACTTTCTTAACCTTTTAAATCCTGCTTAGTGTCTTACTATATGTACCATAATTTAACCAATTTTATATTTAATTTTTATGAATATTTAAGGTGTTTCCCAACATTCCCATTTAACAAACTGCATACTTCTCTAATAATATCTTTTGGATAAAGTTCTAGGAATGTAACTGCTAGGTCCAATTGTAATCACATTTTAATTATTGATGCATTTTTCAAAATTGCCTTCTACTAGCAACAGGAGCGCATTTTCCCAAACCCTTGAAAAAGCAGGATGTCTAAATGTGCCCTTTCCAGCCCTCTGCACCAGGGGCGGCGTTTCCCCTCATCATTCCAGCGAAGCCTCCCTCTTCCAGTGCGCTTCTTTTCACGTGCCTTTGCTCCCTCCTTTTTTCCCTAGTCATGAACTTGGAGTCCCGCAGAGCTCCAGCCTCTAGGAACTCCCTCGATGCTTCTCCCTTGAAGATCTTGTTCATTCTCCCGGTTTTATCTACAAATGTTCACTCTTACCTTCGTATTTAGCCTACACTCATATTTGGCAGTGGACCTCACATGTCTGCCTGGATGTTTCAGAGGCTCGTCAAATCCAGAAGCCAAAACCGAACTAACAACGCCTGCCCCCAGGCCAGCTCCCTGGCCTCCATAACCCTAACCACCCACTGCCCAGCTGCTCAGAGCGGGAGCCTTGGAGCCATCCTTGCCTGTCCTCTTTGTAAGTCTCTGACCTCTGCTAAGTGGGTTCTCTCCTTGAGAATGTATAGAGTCTTCCCGCACAGGTAGCTGAGGCCCCGAACCCTCTGATCTGGACGGTCGCCATGACCTCTCTTTGTAACTGATGTTGAACACCTACCAGGTGGTAGGCTCTTCTAGGCATTGGAGAGTTGATGAGGAGACACCCTGCGTTCATGGAGCATGTGTTCTGATGAGGGGACAACAGTAATTGAACAAATACAGTAATTCTGGCAATTACAATATGTAGATTTACCAGGAGAGCGATGTCAGTGCAGAGTGGAGAAGGGTTCCCGTTTTTGGATTAGCTTGTCCATGAAAGTGCTCTGAAGGGTGATATTCGAGCAGAAAATGGGATGAAAAGAAGCAGCCGGCTAAGCCTGGAGAATTAGACTTGTAGGCAGAAGGAGAAGTGTAGAGGCCTGAAGGGGCTTCTCTGTGAGGGGAGGCGTCAGACGCCCGTGGCTGGAGTGCGGGGGGTGAGGGAGCTGGTGGCTGGGTGTGGGTGCAGTGGGGCCAGGAAGAGAGGCGATGTCTGCGCCGCCTCCTTCTACTCGTAGCCATTGTCCAGGTCATTCCCACAAGGCGCCACGCTTGTCCTTTTCAAACAAATTGTATCACTTATCAGTCAACAGACATTCACTGAGCAGCTATTCAGAGATAGACTCGATCAGTGAACTAAAATAACAAAAATACTCGCCTCCATGAAGCCTGTGTCCTAGCCGCAGACCGTCGATAACCAAGAAACGTAACAAATGCGTAAATCGGTGCCCGTGAAGCGACAGCGCTGCGGGAAGAAGGGGAGGCACGGCCGGGCCAGAGCGCCGTGGCCGGTTTTGCCGTGTTAGATAGGGAGCCGGCCCTGGCCACGTCGGTGGGGCCTGGAGAAAGACTCGAAGGCAGCGAGCAAGCGAGCGAGCGAGCAGTGCTTGCAAGCACA